AGATTGCAGAGGACTCTGTACACGACAGTGGGGTGGAGGAGAATTCTTGGGGGACAATTCCTGCTGCCTCTGGGCAGATGAGGTCGGGGCAGCCAAGGAAAGATGTGCTCAACCTTGGGCATCCGACGGGCAGGAACCCCGCTGTGTGACTGCCACGGTTGGGTTGGCCAGGGCAGGACAGGGCCTCTGGGCAATCCATCCCTGCTTTGTACGGACCTGTCTCAGGTGCAGCTGGAAAGGGAGCTGGGAGCACAGACAGCAGCCCCAAGGGAGACGAGCTGTGAAAGAGCATTTATAACCAGAAGGGCCGGGAGTGGAAATGATGACTCATGGAGGCTGGGGGTGGGGAGTGGGGCAGTGAGGGCAGTGCTGGGCTGGTGGTGAAGCCATTGTTTTAAGAAAGAGGAGAAACATATTTATTTTCTCCATCAAACCAGCCAACACTCATTTTTGAATTAAAAAAAAAAAAGAAACTATAAGCACTATCTTTAAAAAATGTATCCTACAAAATCCTGGAGCAGGACTCCTGAATAGTGGCAAGCTCATCAAAAGCTGTCTGAGAAACTGTCACAGCCAAGAGGAGCCTCAGAAGCCGTGACAATGAAATGCAACGTGGTGTCCTGGATGGGATCCCAGGACAGAAAAATGACTGGAGGAAAACTCAGGAAGGTAAAGAATGGACTTTGGTTAATGATGTATCAGTATTGGTTCATTAATTGTAGCAAATGTCCCACACTAATAATGTAAGAAGTTAACAGTCGGGGAAACTGGGGGTGGTGTGTATGGAATTCTCCGTACTCATCATCTCAATTTTTCTGTAAATCTAAAACTGTTCCAACAAATAAAGGCTATTAAAATTTTTAAAAGGTGCTTATTAAAGTGGCTTTTAAAAATTATAGGATTCACTTAAAAATGATTATTATTATTTACAACCTTTAAAAATGGGAAAATAGGGAGAGGCTGAATTTGCTTAGGATTCTAAAACTTGTCAAGTGTGTTTGCCTATATTAATTGCATTTTTCACCAAGGCCCCGGGAAGGAAGTATTATCATGATTCCCATTTTCTAGAAGAGGAAACTGAGGCTCAGAGTGCCTGGATAACCTGTTCATTGTCACGTGGGCTAGGAAACAGGAGAGGAAGTCGAAACTGGAAACCTCCTTCCTGGTGCTTTTCCCACTGGCTCTGGGCTCCCCACTCTCTGCTGAGCTCGGCTGTGAGGGGAGACACCCCGTGACACCTCCCAGCAGGTGCTGTGGGGCTTGTGTGACCCTCAGCTGTAGGGTGAGGGTAGAGGCCGGGTGATCCACCTCAGGGGGCCAGGTTACAAAGACATTGGGCTGTGCGGTTTCAGCACTGGCAGCCTGGAGCCCTCTCTCAAGAAGCTGAGGGCCTTTGGGGGCACCTGGCCAGGGCAGCCACCTTCCCCTGAGAGCTGTGAGGGCAGTGGGGACCGTGGGGAGCTATGTGAGAGGGGCAGTGTGAAAGCTCAGCAGTGGCCCAGTGAAAATCAAAGGCAGAAGGAGCTCAGCTCTCGGGTCTCCTAGCCCTGGGGGCCACCACGGACATCATCTGTCACAAGAGGCTACCAGCAACAACTCCAGGCTGTATTTAGCTGCAGGGCGGCCTGGCTGAAGCTCAGCCTGGATCTCTAGCCCTTCTTCCAGAGAGGCAGATTTTTCTTCACTAACTCAGTGCTTAGCACAACCAAGGTCTGCAACGCAGGTAGCTCACATCAGAGCAGCCTACAAACAGTTAGGATTACTTCGGTGAGGCTTTGAGCTGACCCTCTGGGAAGGCAGTAGAAGTCTGTGGATTAACTATTGCCTGGCAGCCCTGTGAAGGGAGCCCTGTTGGGAGATGTACAAGTCGAGGACGGCCCCGGCCCAGGTTCCCTAGCAAACTGAGTGAGTCTCCAGGTAAAAAGTACAGGTAAGGAAATACATTTCGCTTTGAGAATGTTACCTCCATAGTCCCTCAACAAAGCCTCGTGGCAACTCGTGATGGGAGTGAGAAGAGTGTGAAAAGACTTAAAATCATATTCGAGTTCTTTCCTTGGGCCATCTTTAGCTATGTGGCCTTGCATGGACTCCCCACCTGCTGCCTTAGTTTTCTTATCTGCATAGTGGGGTGAAAATATTTATTTGAATGATATAATAATAATATTATTACATGTAATAATGTTTATTACATGAGATAATGAGATGAAAATCCTCCATGAGTTGCACTCTGTTTCTTAGTCACAGGGGCTTCCCAGGCGGTGCTAGTGGTAAAGAACCTGCCTGCCAATGCAGGAGTTGTGAGAGACACGGGTTCGATCCCTGGGTCAGGAAGATCCCCTGGAGGAGGGCATGGCAACCCAGTCCAGTATTATTGCCTATGAAATCCCAAGGACAGAGGAGTCTGGAGGGCTACAGTCCATAGGACTGAAAAGAGCTGGACATGACAGAAGCGATTTAGCACGAATACACAGGGTCACAGGGGCTATTATCACTTCTCGTCTGAGATAAGAGATCTGGTGGCCTAGCCCAAGATCTCCACGTGTCAGGCATGAGGAGTGACTCTAGAACAGTTGAATCCCCCATAGTAGGGGATCTTTGAGATCACCCTGCTGACCCTCCCCACCTTCCATTTTCAGAAGAGACTGAAGTTCCTAGTGATGACTTGCCCACCGTCAGCCAACTATAAGCTGAGCCTCGACTCCTGTCTCTAGTCGTGTGGCAGGCATTGTTGCCCTTTGTTCCTGATGCTTCTGAACCTGCGGGGACCTGGTGACAGCCACCACTCCACACCCACCCTCTGCCCAGATGCCAGAGTCAGGGTGAGAGTTCAGTTCACCACATTTCACAGTTCATAATCAAATCAGGATCCTCCAGTACAAAAGGCCAAGAGAACAAAATGGCCAATGTGGTGTAAAAAAAAAGACAGACCTAGTTACTGGGAAGTTTTTAAGGGATTTTAACTTAAACTTGCTTTTATTTAATTTGGTGCATAAATACCCCAGGAATGTAAACTTTTTGTGTCTCCTCTCCAAATGGCCTGGCAGTATTCCAACAGGACTTATATCTTGCAATTTGGTCCTTAAGAGGTCATTAAGCTTTGAAGTGGATGTTTAGCCCAGGTGTGGAATCTAGCCCAGGTATTGCCATTTCTGTTTCCAGATTTTTCTAAAGCCCCTGTAGTTAGCTGTAATCTCCATCAACTTCTAGCTCAATTAACTTTCCTTTTCTTTAACCAATGGATTTTTCTGGAGTACCCACCTTTAGGTGCCTAAGGCCCCCTTTTGTGAGGGAGAGAAAGCAGGAAATGGGAGGTAGGTATTCTTTAGGTAAAAGTGTGCTCTGGCATCTCAGGAATTTGCACAGAGATGCTGAGCTCAGATAGTGGGCTTTGGACGCCTAGTCCTGAGTCATGCTCTCCATTTCCCAAGGGGCTCCCAGCATACCCGTCTTAACATCTTAATGATTCACGGAACTGCTCCGACATCCCTCAGAAGTTGAAAACTTTCCATGCCCCTTCTAGGGAGTCTAGTTCAGGGGTTAAACACACAGACTGTCTGCATTTGCATTCCAAGCCCTCGCTTCAGCTGTGGGATGACCTTAAGCAAGTCACTCCTAGAATAGAACCTCTGCTGGGTGGGCCAGGAAAGAAGGCACAATTCAAAGATGATTAACTCTGTTACTGATGGACTAGTCTGGAAAACAAGTTGATGCTGATGGCTCAAAATAAGGTTTTGGTTTGTCGCAGCAAATAAGCTGCTCCAGCAATCATAGGCTCATACCTACTATGAGTAAAACATAATAAGCATGGATTCTATGAGAATCTTAAACAGCGGTCCCAGCCCCCTTTGTTAAGACTTCTTCAAAGAAACCCTGCGGGCAATAACCAACCAGGTCCTGCTGTAGAGCACAGATAACTGTCTTCGAGATCCTGTGATAAACCATAATGGAAAGGAGTGTGAAAAAGAATATGTATATGCATAACCTAGTCACGGCTGTACAGTAGAAACTAGCACAACATTGTGAATCAACTATCCTTTAATAAAATCAATAAAAAAATAAGACTCAGGTGCTTTCACGCCAAAGCAGACTGTAGGTTCCAGTCCCAGCAGGCACTGTATTCAGAAATCAGAGTCCGGCTTCAGTGAGCCTCACAACTCAGCTACTCCAGTTAAAAGTACTAAAGTGAACCTTACAGCTGCCTCTGTAACAACAGCACCACGTCCACTGTTATGATGCCATGGTGAGCTTGTCCTGCAAACACCGAGAACACCCTGGTACGTTAACTTCCTCCCAGCAGTGGCTACTAGGGTTTCCACTTCCTCTACAATGAGTCACCATCCCATCCCTGAACCACAGAGAACTGATGTCTCAGAGCTGCTGCTGACCTGGGGGAGTCCTCCTAACTGGTCCTCGGCCTGGAGCCTGACTGCTCCGTGGGCCATTAGTAACACTGGCTCCGGAAGATGCAGACGTTAAGGGTGGCTGAGATCCAGAAGCTCCTCTGTCCCCCAGTGGGAGCATCTTTGCAACTTCAACAACTAGCCCAGCACTTCCCTGGTGTTCCAGAGGCTAAGACCTCATTCCCAGTGCAGGGCAGGGACCTGGGTTTGATCCCTGGTCAAGGAACTAGAACCCATGTGCCACAACTAAAGATCCCACATGCTACAATAAAGATTGAAAATTCCATACACTGCAACTGAGACCCAGCACAAAAATAAATACATAGTAAAATAATAATAATAATAATCATCTCAACTCTTTAAAATGACAACAGCAACAAATAGCCCAGTCTGGTGCCCGGGACACAGGGGGCCTCACTGCACCTCTATTTGTCTACCACAGCACAGGATCCTAAGGAGACGAGACATTCCAGGAAGCTTCTGGAAATGGAAATTGCCAAAGGGTTTGGCAAGAGAGCGGAATCCTAAGTCATCCCTCACTCTTTCCACCCACAGCTGTGTAGACAGGCCCCCGTGGCCTGCTGAGATGCCATCACTTACCTAGGGCTCCTTGGCAGATGTCTGTGCGAGTGGCTCCTCCAGTAATAAATTGGGGATCATCGCAAATCTCCTGAAAACGAGACCCACAGAGTATTGTCAACGTATCTGCCATATGCTTTTGTAGTTAGGACACCTCAGTTTCCAACAGATGCATCGGACCCCTCTGTCTCTCCCCTCTCCACTAGGGAACGCCTGGCAGTTAGTTAGACTGCCATGGGGTCCTTCTCTGACCCCTGCTCTGTGGGTCCTCATAGGTGGTAGGGGACCCTACTGCTCCACTAGATCCCAACGCCCCACACTGCCTGGAGCCTACTTCATCATGCTACTTCCTAGTGCCAGGGCAGTGCCAAGTCCAGCCTCCTCTGGGGGCCTGGAGACGTCCACACTCTGGAGTTGCCCTGCCCACCACGCCCGCCCCTCTCCTCTGTTCCTGCATGGGATTTCTCCTCTCCCACCCAGATCCCTCCTTTTCCACATCTTATCATATCTCAAGACCCACAGCCACCACCTCCATGAAGCCCTCCTTCACAATCTGGCCCTCACCCATCCTTTCCATTCTGAATCCCAGAGTATCTATACTCTGCAATTCAGCAGCTAGATGTGCGCCGTGCATGGTGCTGGGTATCACTGTGTCTTCCTAACACTTATGCTTCTTGAGGGTAGGGGAAGGTATCTAGCTTTCTGGATTTGCCCACAGGCCATGATACTCGGGGCAGGGGGTCCACATACTGTGAGCCTGCTGTATGTCAATACTGTGTGTGGTGCTTTATCTCAGGAACATGGATGGGCAACAACCCTATTTTATAGGTGAGGAAACAGGCTAATGAAGCCACGTGTCCCAAGATGTATCGCTCATGGCTGTAGACAGCAATGGGGTTTGACTGCTATAAACCGTACACTCCCTCCCCTCCTGCACTGCCTCTAAATGATTACTAACAAGCCAAAAAGGGGTGTCCCACAGGTCGCCTACTGGAAGCCAGCCTTGAACACGGCTGGCCTCTCTGCTGCTCTCTCTGAGCATGCTTCTTGATTCTGAAGAGCCCCACCCAAAACCACAGAGGAAGCACAGAGCAAAAATCTGGGCTTCCCTTGGCCAGGACCCTTTGATTTGGAGGCACTCCACCCCAGAGCGCCTGGCGGGGCCCCCTCTCTGTCAAGCAGAATCGTTTCCTGGGTGAGGCCAGGATCTAGCCCCTGTCCATCCTGGCTTAGACTGAAGACCCTTCTGGAATCCACAGCAGAGCACACTCCTCTCATGCCCTGCATTGTCCCTTCCCTGTTCGGGTGGGTCTGTCTGGGGGAAGACAGGCACAGTGAGAATGCTTTTCTGCTGAGGCAGACGAAGGCAGCTTTGCCCGAGGTCTGCCAGCCAAGCACTTATCCTGCTGATGGAATACACGGAGCTTGGTGCTGGGAGCCTAGAAATCATATTGATAAGCCTCGGTGCTCCAGGCACTTACCCCAGAAGGGTTTTTCCATTATTTTTGAGAAATTTTTCACACCTTTGGCAGCCTCTCCAAAGAAGGCGAAGTTTAGAGTGGCTCTTAGAGATGTTTCAGGAAACTGAAACTTGTACACAGCATGAAGGGCACGAATTAAATACGGAACATCACAGTCTCAGGAAAGGGGTTGAGAGCCTGGGCTTTGGAGTTAGCTGGAGTGTGACTCCTGGCTCTGCCACTTCTTATACACTGGGTTCTATGACCCTGGCAAGTTACTTCACCTCTTTAAGCCTCAGTTTCCTCATCTGTATAACAGGGATGGTGATGACAAGTGTACCTACGACATCTGAAGGTTAAAGGAGATGATTATGCACGTGTGCCTTGGAAGCACTATATAAGTTACCAACTATTTTAGCTATTGAAGGAGTATCCTAATCACTGAACTTGGAGGCAGGAGATGCAGATTTGAGGCTGAATTCAACCAGCTGAGTGTAAACAAGTCATAAAGCTCTCAGAGGCCTTAGATCAGTGGTCCCCAATCTTTTTGGCACTAGGGACTGGTTTCGTGGAAGACAAGTTTTCCCACAGATGGGGTGGGGTTGGGGAAATGGTCTGGGGATGATTCAAGCGTGTTACATTTATTATGCCGCCGCTGATGAGACAGGAGACTGAGCGCAGGTGGTAATGCGAGTGACGGGGAGCGGCTGTAAACACTGATAAGCTTTGTTGCTCACCTGCTGCTCTCCTTCTGCTGTGTGGCCTGGTTCCTAACAGGCCATAGACCTGCACCAGTCAGGGCAAGGTGGGGACTGACATGTTTGCCCTCGCTCCAACCTGACTGGTGCTATCCTTGATGGTGACAGCATTTTTCTCTGCACCAGCCCACAGTGACTTAGCCGTGTCCTCTTCCCATCTGCGGAGCCCTCTGTGGCCAGTGTTGGGAAACCCCCTCTGAGGAAGGGCAGCCCTTTGGCTCCAGGGCTCTCCTGCTCCCCTCCCTCCTCTTACTCCCTACTCTCACTTCCTCGGGGCCTCCTTTTCTCTTTAGTTCCTTTCTCTCTGGGACTTGACATATGATGTGTGTGTGCTCAGTCACGCAGTCATGTCTGACTCTTTGCGACCCTTTGGACTGTAGCCCACCAGGCTTTTCTGTCCATGGGATTCTCCAGGCAAGAATACTGGAATAGGTTGCCATGCCCCACACCAGGGGATCTTCCCCATCCTGGGATCGAAACTGCACCTCCTGTGGATCCTGCATTGCAGGCAAATTCTTTACCACTGAGCCACCAGGGAAACCTGGGACTTGACATATAAAACATTCTAATTGCTCTCATCTGAAAAAACAACCTCTCAAGTCCCAGGTCCCACTCTCCCTGCCACTTTCCCTCCTCTCCTTTCACAAGAATGCTTCTGGAATTACATGAGCATGTGCTTCATTTCTGGTTCCTTACTTTGGGGTTTACAGCCATCTGGCTCCTACCCACTGCAATTCGGTTTTTGTTGTTCAGTCACTAAGTTGTGTCCAACTCTTTGTGACCCCATAGACCACAGCATACCAGGCTTCTCTGTCCTCCATTATCTCCCAGAGTTTACTCAAATTCATGTCCATTGAGTTGGTGAGGCTACCTAACCATCTCATTCTACCCCATGGCAATTGCTCTGTTAAAGTCACCAGTGACTTGCTTTTGTCCAGATCCAGTGGATACATTTTTGTTTGTCTCGCTTGACCTGAACTACAGCTGTGTTTGAGAAGGCAGAGAGGGTGGCTGCGAGCTATGGACTCTAAACACCCACAGGCGGATAGTCCTGGCTCCAGCCCCAGACACCTGTAAAAGCAAATATTTAACCTTCTCAAGCTGCAGTGTCTTCAGCTGCTGAATGGGTCTGTATCTGTTGCCCTCCCCATTGGTTGTTCAGTTCATACCCTGTCCCGCCCTAACCTGGGGCTCTAAAATGGGCTTAGATTTCCATTTTCCCATCTGGAAATCCTACAGGCATTTCCGACTGTTGGGTGACCTGTCTGTCTAGCCCCTATTGCCTTCAGAGGTAAAAACAAATATGTACTATGCCTGGCATACAGTAGGTGTTCAATATAAGCTTATTGAATGAATGAAAGAATAAGCAAAGAAGTAAATAAATTCATTTCACAAACTATCAAGTACTACACAAAGGTTATCACTTTCACAGTTGTAATTTTGTTTGAGGCTCATTACAATCTTGCATTCATTCATTCCACAAAGAGTCTTTTTGTTCACAGATATATCCCAAGCATTTAAGACAGTGCCTGACATTTAACAGGCACTCAACAAATACTGTTAAATGAATGAATGAACAAATGAATGCATACTCTGAATGCACCAGGGATTGACTGGTGAACAACACACCCATGGTCCCTGCAGTTCATTAGGAAGGACAAACAAATATATGTAATTACGTGTACGAACGGTGAAATGCTGTGAAGGAAATTAGCAGAGTTCATGATAAAGAATGACAAGATGAGAAGGGGGACTGCAAAGAATGGTCAGGACAAAAATCTCTTTGGGGAGGAGGCATCTAAGTACCAAAGAATGAGTGAGCCAGATTACAGAAAACCAAGAAAGAGCATCCCTGGCCAGTGAGGCAGGAAAGAGCAGGGTGCCCTTGAGAAACTAAAAGGTGCTGGGCTTGGTGAGTCAGTGGAGACAGGAAACTATTACAGCATCACCTCTTCTTTTAGATAAAGAAATGGAGGCACAGAGGTTAAACAGCTTACTTACTCAAGTTAGCAAGAATTGAACTCAAGTGCTCTGGGTACCTCTTACTGCACTTGCTACCTGCGGGCTGGGTTTGGGGTAACGGAAGGTGATCAGCTGATGGGGGTGGGGATGGGGGTTCAGAGGAGGGGAAGCAGGACAGGAATGCTTATTTTCCTAACAGGAATCTAGAGGCTGGATTTCCCAGGAGGCCTCTTGGGTTGTGGTGGGGGAAGGTCAGCGAGGTGTCTGTCCCATAGGAGGTGGGGCCAGGAGGGATCCCAGGTACACAGGATGTATAAATTGATCAGGGGAGCCAACTGCCCCCAAGGCCTGCCAAGGCACGGAGGACAGAGATCCAGGGACAGTGGGAAAAGGGAGCTCAGCGGGGGCCCCGCGATTCGGGGTGAGGAGCAGTAACCGGCCCCTGGCTGCATCTCCCCTGTGCTTTTGATAATCACCAGGGTAAATATTACAGGGAGCTGTCTTGCCAGTTCCCATCTGGAAAAATAAACAGGAAACTGAGTGGATAAATCTAACCATCAGTGGAAGAGACAATCCCTAGTCACAAACGTCCAGGCCATGCGTGGACTTTCTCCCTGAAGCAGAGAGTTAGAGTCCGACTTGCCCAGTGAAATACCGTAACACCCACGCCCCGGGCTCCCGCCCACCCCCACCCCCGGCCTCCCTTCTCCGAGACTCTCTCGTCCCCGCTCGCCAGAGTCCAATAAGTTTCCTCCAGGTCCCCTTATGTCACCCGAGTTTTTGTGAGTTTTTGCCGGCAGACCTGCTAGTGGGATCTGTGGGTAGTGTGCACCTCGGCGCGTCCTAAGGGCCCCGAGGGTGGCGGATGGGACGCGGGCGACCCCGCGCCAGCGGAGCCCGGGATCGGGCTCCGGGCCGCGGGGCTCTGCTCTCAGCGCTCCCGCAGCTCCCCGCGCTCGGGGCTGGGTTCTCCCCCGCTCGGAGGCCGGCCCGCCCCGCATCCCGCCCCGGGCGCCCTCCCTACCGTGGGCCGCTTCCACTCGATGCCCCGGGTCTTGCTGGAGTAGGGTCCCAAATCCTTGAAGCCCAGGGAGGACGGCAGGGCCGGGAAGGAGGGGTCCTGGAACAGCGCCCCGGCCTCCAGGCACTCGTCCCGCAGCGCCTCGTAGTCCTGGTTGAGGTACTTGACCGCCCTCTCGTGCGAGCCCAGCCCCTCGGCCGCCTCCCGGTCCTTCGCCAGCTTGGCCGCGATGCCCGCCATGGTTGGCCCGGTGCCCGCGCTGCCGCTGGGCGAGCAAGCGAGGGTCTCGGCTGCGGCGATGAGCGGCGCTCGGCAGCTGCACGGCCAGGGCCCGGTGCGCAGCAGCGGGACTGTGAGCGGCCGCCGCCGGCGATGATTCACCGGGTCAGGCAGCGCCCTCCGCCCGGCGGGCGTGGCCTGGCTGCTCCCGGCCTGCTCGGCGCCCCGCCCGGGACCTTGGCGGTCCGCGGCCTGCACAGCGCCAGCCGGACGGCGGTGGCCCGCGGAGCTGGTGCTGCCATCTGCGGACGGCGCCCGGGATGGCCGAGCCGGCCGGCTGCGAGCACCCAGAGAATCCCGGTGGAAAAGCGGGGACTCAAACCCAGCCTCAGTTTAGCCGGCTTCCCGCTTGCTGGAGAAGAAGGCTGGCGGAAACCCAAGGCTGGGGCTATGCTGACTCTCCAGGAAACACCCTGTGAGTCAGAAGGGGAGAGAGCTGGGGGAGACGAAATCAGCTCTTGTTAAGAAGGTGGCTCCTCTGCTATATACCCCATTTGACGGATGGGAAAAGTGAGCAACAGAGAGGTTAGATGACATCACCCAGTGTTGCTCAACTAGTTTGAGGTGGAACGAGGATTCCGTTACCAGAGGCGTGTTACAATCAGAAGGCTACACACTGCTACTGGTTAGCTGTATGGCCACAGATAGCAGGGCCAGATTTGGCAAATAAAAATACATCCACCTGTAATAGGGAAGAACAAATCTGATTCCATATTAGATCTGTTGTGTTGCCTGTGCTTACTCATGCTGGTTCTGCACCTTTCGCTAAAAAAAAAAAAAAAAAAAAAAATGTTGCCTGTAGCCTGAAATATATAGGGGAGCCCAGTCTCAAGGCTCTGACCTAAAAGAGTCCATTCATATAGAGATAAAAAGTTGGGGAACAGAGAATAACATTTGTTTCATTGAAGGTTTATGGGAACATCTTGACCTGACTTATGTGGACAGCTAAGAAAGGATTCCAACACCAAGAAGTTTGCAACAGCTAACCATGCCCCTCCCTCAGCTTGCCTTTAAAGGTGCTTTGCTGAATTCCTTCAGGGAGTTAAGAGCTTTTTAACAATGAGACACCCCCGTCTCCTTGCATGACCCTGCAATAAACCGTCCTCTGCTCCAAACTGTTTTGATTTGTTTGGCTTCACTGGGCATCAGGCACACGAGCTTTCATTCAGTAAAACACCCAGCTAAATTTGAATTTCAGGTAAACATAATGATTTTTCACTATACATATGTTCCAAATAGTGAGTGGTGGCATACTTACACTAAAAAATTATTTCTTATTTAAGGGAGCAAAATTTGCCACCTCAAAATGTCTTATTTGGCATGTGGATTATTTTGAGCTGAAAACAATGGAGGCCCAGAAGACTCAGGAAGAAACTGACCTTCCCGGTAATTGCCTGAAGAATTTAGATAAAGGACCTGTTTCCAGAACAGAGCAATCACCAGAGATATCTGCAGAGATTATAGGCTCAGTGTGGTGGGGACCTGCGGGGCCTAGAGATCAGATACCTCTGTGTCCCATTGTCTCTTTGTTGTTCAGTCCCTAAGTCCTGTCTGACTCTTTGTGACCCCATGTACTGCAGCACACCAAGCTTCACCATCTCCCGGAGTTTGCTCAAACTCATGTCCATTGAGTCGGTGATGCTATCTAACCATCTCATCCTCTGTCACCCCCTTCTCCTGCCCTCAAATCTTTCCAGGCATCAGGGTCTTTTCCAATGAGTCAGCTCTTTGCATCAGGTGGCCAAAGTATTGGAGCTTCAGCTTCAGCATCAGCTCTTCCAATGAATATTCAGAATTGATTTCTTTCAGGATTGACTGGCTTGATCTCCTTGCAGTCCAAGGGACTCTCAAGAGTCTTCTCCAACATCTCAGTTTGAAAGCCTCAGTTCTTCGGTGCTCAGCTTTCTTTATGGTCCAGCTCTCACATCCATACATGACTAATGGAAGAAATCATAGCTTTGACTATATAGATCTTTGTTGGCAAAATGATGGCTCTGCTTTTGTCATAGCTTTCCTTCCAAGGAAAAAGCATCTTTTAGTTTCATGGCTGCAGTCACCATAGATAGTGATTTTGGAGTCCAAGAAAATAAGTCTCTCACTGTTTCCATTGTTTCCCCATCTATTTGCTGTGAAGTGATGGGACCAGATGCCATGATCTTATTTTTTCGAATGTTGAGTTTTAACTCTCAGCATTTTCACTCTCCTCTTCCACCCTCATCAAGAGGCCCTTTAGTTCCTCTTAGCTTTCTGCCCTTAGAGTGGTATCATCTGCATATCTGAGGTTGTTTGTGTTTCTCTTGGTAATCTTGACCCCAGCTTGTGATTCATCCAGCCCAGTCAGTATATATATGTGATTTTGGTGACAGGGGATGCGTGCAGTCAAGCCCACATTTTGGCAGAAGCTTTCTGTTAGTCACCAGGAGCAGATGTCTCTGTTAATGACTTTTGTCCGACTGAAGTGACTTAGCAGCAGCAGATGTGAGAAGATGCATGAGGTTTGGCTCATAAAACCTTCTGAAAATATCTATCTCGAGGTCTGTTCTGCCAGTTTTTCCCAGAGCACTGAGTGCCTCATTTCTAATCTCTACCCTGAACTTCTTTCAGAGTGTGTTGAAGGTCAGTGACCGTAGTGGCTAGTGGAAACTAGATGGCAAGTGATAATTTTTAGTTAGCATCCAAAATGTCAGTAATCCCTGAGGCTGAGAAAGTCTGGTTTTGAGCACCTTTACTCAGGTTATCTGATTCCAGCTTTTCATTGTTTTTGAGTCATTTTACAACCCAAATTGTAGATAGCTGTAGCAGTGCAAAATAATTTTTCTCTATATGCAGATTAATTCTCTCCAGTGAGGGGATCTCTCTATCCATCTTAGAGAAGCCTGTTGAGTCCATTTGCACATCATTTTTAATATTTTTTATTCTTTACTTCATATAAATGTGTGCTTCTTTGACTTTTTTATTTGAATTAGTTATTGTATCACTTAGTCGCTTCATTTAGGGCTTCCCTGTAGCTCAGATGATAAAGAATCATCTGCCTGCAATGCAGAAGACCCGGGTTAGAGTCCCGGGTCCAGAAGATCCCCTGAAGAAGGGAAAGGCAACCCACTCCAGTATTCTTGCCTGGAGAATCCCATGGACAGAGGAGCCTGGTGGGTTACAGTCCAGGGGGTCACACAAAGTTGGATACAACTGAGCAACTAATACTACACTACCACTGGTCGCTTCATTTAATTAAGTTAAATAAAAATTTTAAAATGCATCCATTAAAATGGACACATCTATATGAGTTATGATTTTACCATTAAAAAAATTATCTTTTAGTTCAAGGAAGGGAGACCAGATAAAGTGGCATTTTAGTCAAACTTGAAGGATGGTTTGAGATTTAAATATTCAGAATTTTTTAGTGAAACAATGATCTTTAGGGATAGACTTAAAAGTCTTTGGAATTAAGTGTTCCTGGTGCCCTATGGAATTGAAACTAGTTTCGGGGGCTTCAAGAAGCTCTGATCCTGTAAGTCTCAGTGCAGAAAGAATTCAGCAAGAGGTAAAGTGATAGATACGAAGTGATTTATTAGAATAGGAACCTTGTGAGGCTTACAAGCCGGGAAGGGGACAAGAGGGTGCTGCACATTGAGAGCTTAGAGGGCTACAGTTTTATAATCAAAGGAAAAGCAGGGAGGGGGGAAAGACCACTTTCTTCCTCATTTTTGAGTAGATGTCAAGTTTCCATCATCGGTTCCCCTCCACGTTGGGCAGGGGAGTTTTCTTGTCCCTATGTGGTCAAACCAGCACTGTCATGGCACTATGAAAAGGTTATTTCAGGTCTCAGTACAGTGATGGCCTTTCACTTTGAAGAATCTCCTTTCTATAAGTTATTATTATTATTTTTTATGTGTGTAGAGAGCATGTCCTAGGGGTCATTAACTTACTGAACTCACTGGTCAGGTTGTGGGTCTCATGCCACCATTGTTTTATTGTTTTGAGAGTATGTCTGATGCTTCTGTTGCATGGTTTTGTTACTAAGTGAGCCTGCTTGATTTTGTGGTTAAGGAAACCTGGCTTTCTTGAGTGATCATTAATTTACTGTGGTCTCCCAAAGCCTCCTAAAGTTTCTTCTCTATCTAGTGATATAATCTCATAATGGGATTTCAGAGCTATTTGATTATCCTACTCTGTCCCTATCAGAATTAGATGAAGCCTAATCACTTTGCCAGGGTCTGTGCTTAAGCATCCTTTCATAGTCTTCAGGATATTTTACTGCTCTGTGCAATATAGAAGATGATAGTAATGCAAATAATTCTTGTCTGTGTATATGCAAATGAATTTCTTGGGGTAGAAGTGCAATCAACCGTCTTCCCTCCCTCAGTTTTGTGTATATTAACAAATTCCATTTAGTATTCCTAATTGTTCTTTCTGATTCTCCTTTGAACTAATTTTTCAAGAACATACACTGGTTCCCTCATTTGTTCATGAGTTAAATCAAAACTAAATAAATAAATAAAATGGGTAAGAAATAGTCAAAGAAAACAGAGACAAAAAAAAAAAAAGAAAACAGAGGCGTTTTTCCTTGGATAAGAGAATGGGCGTGTGTGCATGCTCCATCCTGTCTGACTCTTTTGTGACTGCATGGACTGCATGGACTGTAGCCAGCCAGGTTCCTCTCTTCTTGGGGTTTCCCAGGCAAGAATACTGGAATGGGTTGCCATTTCCTTCTCCAGAGAATCTTCCCAACCCAGGGATTGAACCCATGTCTGTTGAGCTGCATTGGCACGTGGGTTCTTTACCAGCTGAGCTACTGGGGAAGCAAGAGAAGGATATTGGGCAGGTAACACTAACTTCAAGTGTTTGCAGGATTGTCCTGGAGAAGAGGAAGCGTATTCATTCTGTGTTGCTTCAGAGGGAGAAAAGGAACTAGTGGCTGACTTAAAGGGGCACAGATTTTAATTCGCCATGAAAATTAATTA